GAACATCAGGCATTGGATTGCAAAGCCAGTGTCACCTACATAGGAACTTAGATCCAGAAGGACCTCAAGGGTATCCTGGCTTGGAGATACACCTGGACAAGGTTACAAGCTCTTCTGCATATCAATCAGACCAGGAACTTCATTTCTTAAAGCATTTGGAAAGGTTTGTTAGAGCACCATCAACGGTTTTCTGAGAATTCCAGATTTCCATGCTAGAGCTGCATTGCTTCATTCTCATAGCTCTATTTATCTGTGTTCCCGAGTTTCTATTACATGGATCTCTGTAATGCTCAGCTTTGGGAAGCATCTCTCTCTCTCTGTGTGTGTGTGTGTGTGTGTGTGTGTGTGTATCTGTGAACTCTCTGGAGCTCACCAGAGGGACTCACCTGAGGGCTGGGGAGGCCGAGCCCACTCAATGAAAGGGTGGCGGTGTTGGATGATGGCTCGCTGACACTTCTCCACATCTGCATCCTGTTCAATCATGTCCACAATTTCCTGAATCCATGTTGTCCCTGAGGGTCAGAAGAGAAAGACAAGAAGCAGAAAACTATTAGATAATCTTCTTGAAGTTTCCTGAGGAAAAGGATGAAGGGACATGGAGATTGTTATTGGCTTCAAACTCCTCTGGGTCCAGGATCCTGTTTGCCATGAGAGATGGACGTCCATGTGGGACAGACTTTGGGTCTCTATTCTGAGTGGAGCAGCAAAGGAAAAGCTCACAATCACCCAAGAGCAGGGCATGGCTGAGCACAGTAGGTGGGGCCTCCAGCACTGCTATGCTGCGCCCCTTCCGGGAATCCAGGGATGCCAGCCATCCAAGCCTAAGCCCCCTCCTAGAACAGCAAGGAGCACGTCTTCCATCCTGGGGAATTCTGGCTGATGTGGAAATAGCCTTTCTGACTTAGCAGGGTGAGGTCTCTGCTGTTTCCCTGCCCCACAATCACCTGCTTTAGGGTAAGTACAAATGAGAAGATCGTCCGGCTTGGCCTCAAAGTTCTGGATCTGGCTCCAGTTGTCTACAGTGGTACTCTGCAGGGGGATCCCTGCCACCTCTTTCAGTTGTGATTGTTTTTTCAAATCTGAGGTGAGAGCCATAGTATCTTGTGATGGAGAGTCCTTATGGGAAAAGAAAAGAGCTTTCTTAAAAAAAAAAATGGTTTTAAAATACACATAACATGAAATTGAACATTTTAGCCATTTTTAATTATATAATTCAGTAGCATTAGTTACTTTCACATTGTTGTGCCCCCATAACTACTACCCACCTTTAGAACATTTTCTTTTTCTTAAATGGAAACACTGTACCCATTAATCACTAACTCCTCATTCCCCATTCTTCAGCCACTGAAAACCACCATTCTACATTCTGTTTCCACAAACACTAGATGTGTTAATTAACTAAAATCATACACTATTTGCCTTTTTGTGAGTGGTCTGTTTAACTTAGCTTAATAGCTTTATGATTAACCCATATTGTGGAATGTTACAGGACTTTCTTCCTTTTCGAAGCTGAATGACAGTCTTTGCTCATGTGCTGTATTTGTTCATCTATTACTTCATCCAGGGATGCTTGGATTGTTTTCTACCTTTTGATTATTGTGATTGATGCTGCTATGAAGTTGGGTATATAAATATCTCTTTGAGTTCCCACTGTTCATACTTTGGGGTAAATACATAGAAATGAAATTCCCAAAATTAAACATATAATGTTTAATTTTAGGAAAAACTTATTGCACCTTGTTCCATAGTGGTTATATCATTTCAAGTTCTTACTTGCAGTACACAGGGTCCAATTTCTCTATATTCTCACCAACTCATGATGTTTTCTGGGTGTATAAAATAGCTATCCTGATGAGGATGAGGTTTTATCTTATTGTGGTTTTGATTTGATGTTGAACTTATTCTCATGAGCTAATTGTTCACTTCTTTGTAGAAATGTCTTTTCAAAGTCTTTGCACATTTTTACATTTGTTGTTGGTTGTTTTGAAAGAAGTTGTATTGAAAACAAGGGTTTTAAATGCACAAAAGGAGGAAGACAGAAGTAGTGGGCCATGTTACTCTTGGGATTTCAGAAGATATTTATTAATACCACTATGAGTGAAATGATAATGGTCAAACCCAGCACTTATCAAACACTTTAATTTGTCATGTGTTAGGCTAAATGCCTGTATAAATTAGTTCTTAGTTCTTGCATAATATGAGTGACAGAACTTTAGAGATTAAAGGGTCCTTACAGAAAATGTAACAGCAAACGATTGTTGGAAGTTGAATAAAAGAAGCTGGTTCAGTGATCCCATAGAATGGGTGAGGGAACTGGCAGCCCAGCTTGGCCAAACCTAGCTTTCAGATTGCCTTTGCCTCTCACAGAGTCAAACCCCACAGCATGGTTTACATCACGAAATGAAAGACAATTGGACAGTTTATGTCTCTCAGTAGAAAACACATTACCTATGAAGTGGTCCTACCACATACATTGAACCCAAATCAGTAAGCAAATATTGGTTTAAAGGCAATTTATGTTAAAATATATCACAACAATGAAATGAAAATGTAGATCAATATATAAGACCAACAATCAATAAATGGAATTGCGTCAAATTAAAAAAACTTCTGCACAGCAAAAGAAACAATTAAGAACAAAAAGAGAGAAGAAAATCTTTCTAGCTATTCTTCAAATAGGAGTTTATTATGCAGAATATAGATAGAACTCAAAAAACACCAAACCCCAAAATCGAACAACCCAATCAATAGACAAAAATTAATTAAAAATTAATTTAAAAAATTAATTAAAAGACATTTTTTCAAATGAAGAAATGCAAATGGCCAAAAACTATATGAAAAAAAAATGTTCAATATCCTTAGCATTCATGGAAATGCAAATCAAAACTACAGTCCAATTAGAATGATAATCATCAAAAATATAAATAATAATACATGCTGTTGAGGTTGTGAGGAAAAAGGTATAGTCATATATTGTAGGCGGGACTGTGAATGAGTACATCCACTTTGGAAATCAGTATGGAGAATCCTCAAAAGGTTGGGAACAGACTCACTCTATGACCAAGCTGCTCTACTATTTGACTTTTATCCAAAATAATTAAGATCAGCATATTATAGAAATATATCCACACAAATGTTTATAGAAGCACAATTTACAAGCCAAGTTATGGAACCAGTCCAGGTACCTGTCAATAGATGAATGGATAAAGAAAATGTGATCTATCTATCTATCTATCTATCTATCCATCCATCCATCCATCTGTCTATTCACACACACACACATACATAAAAACAATTGAATTTTACTTAACCATAAATGAAAATGAATTATATCATTTGCTGGTAAATGGACAGAACTGGAGAACCTCTAGCTGAGGGAAATAAGCCAGACTCAGAAAGTCAAGGATCAAAAATTTTCTCTTACATGCAAAATCTAGAGAGAAATAAGCAACTAAAGAAGGGAGAATCTCATGAAAATAGAAGGGAGTACAGTGGAATAGAGGAAGGGAAATTAGGAAAGGGGAGTAACAACAGAATAAAATTGACCCAACTATGTCATGTGCACATATGAATGTATCAAAATGAATTTTACTTTTATGTATAATTATAATGCACCAATTAAAATAAATCAATTAAAAATGTAAACTACATGAAAGTCTACAGGACAATAATAAACTTACTTCAAATAAATGACAAGACATTTGAAAAAAAAATAAAGAGGAGTGAATATATTTTTTAAAACCACCTAAAAGGACATATTAAAGAAAAGACATGCACAGGAATGTTCACTTAGGTGATTAGACTTTGAAGAAGTCTAAAGAAGGGGGCAGAGGATGTAGCTCAGTGGTATAGCACTTGCCTAGTATGCAGGAGACCCCAGGTTTAACCTCCAGCACTGCACAAAAGAAAAAAAAGAGTAAAACAATAATAAAAAAGTAAACAAAAAAGAACTTTTAAAAAAGGAAGTGATTATCTTAAGTGTCAAGACAGTGGCCACTTCTAAAAAGTTAGAGGACAGAGCAAATGGGGGCTTCTTTTTAAGCTGGCAAGTTTTTATAATATACTGTCCTGGGTGCCAGATACAAGGATGTTTGCTTTATATTCATGTATTAAACTGTGCATTACTGTATTAGAATAGAAATCTAGATAATATCATGGGAAGGGACTGGCACATTCAGACAGAGAAGCAGGTGAAGGCTGTATTAGTCAGCTTGTGTTTTTATTGTAAACTACCTAAGTTAGGTTACTTATAAAGAGGTTTTCTTAGCTTACAGCTCTGGAGGCTGGAAGTCCAAACAACACTGGACAGGCCCTTGCAAGGGTCCACTCAGGTGTAACATACCATAGGGGAAGTATATGTGTATTTCCTGTGTGGTCTCTCTACCTCTCTGAAATTTGATTGTGGGGACTCCATCTTAAGGACCCTAAACTAATCTGATCACTTCCCAAAGGCCCTGCCTCTAAACACTATAGTAAGATAAAGTTTCCACCTTTTTAATATTATACGTAATAGTTTGGAGATCAAACTCCTGCATGAGTTGGGGGTGGAGGTGAGGGTTAGGGGACACACCACATTCAAACTTTATCAAAGGATCAAAGGAACAAGGAATCAAGGTATCTTCATGTTAAATAATTTCTAGAGCTTAGAGCTTTAGGGTGGGGAGTGTATAGAAATGAGCATGGATGATGTTACAAGGGCCTTTCAGGGTATGCTTTTATTCTAAGGGCAATAGGAGGTCACCAAATAGGGTGAAGCTGGAGACTGCCCAAGGTGACATGTTGCACTTTAGAAAGGTCACACTGGGTGGGGTACTGGAAGGATTGGAATGGAACCCAGTGGGAGAATTCTGCAGCAATTCAGGTGGAGTTGGTGATCATATCTTTGCTTAGTACTGTGGCAGAGGGGACAAGAAGAAGTAAGCAGACTTAAGAGATCTTAATGATTAATGTGAGGTGAAGGGGCGGTGGGGGGAAAGTCAAGCTTGTGAACAGATTTCTGATGGGGTTAGCTGGGGAGTCAGAGAATTTGTTGCGAATGGGAGCATTGGAGGGGAGCAGTTTTTGCATGGCTAGGTTCAATTTGAGGGGGAATCTGAGCTGCCTGTGGGTCCTCTATATCTGGAACCCTTAGGCAGGTGTGAAGGTGGGTCTAGAGCTCTGGCCTGGGGATGGAGATTTGAGAATCATTCAGTCAACACATTGTCTAACCCTGCTGGGAAAATCGTGAGTGAGGCAGGTGCTGAGGGCTGAGGTGTGGGAGGAGAGCGTGAGAGTCAAGAGGCACTTAGTTCTTAACTGCATTAGACTTATGAATTATGACTTTATATGATGAAATAGCCATATGCATTCAGTAGAAATATTACTTTGAATTTTGAATGTGAATCATTTCCCAGGATTACAGTATGTGGTAAAATCCTCTCATGATGCTGGACAATGGCAAAGAGCCGCAAGTCCCAGCCAACCCCATGATCACAAGAGGAATCAGCTGACACTCTACAGTGCGCTGTGTTGCTGAGCTAGGATGGTTTGGAGGTAGGTTTTATCAAAGCATTTTAATCTATTATATTTTCAATTTATGATAGACTTATCAAGATATAACCCCATCATAAGTCAGCATCTGTGTATGGAAGGGCACCTGGAGCTCAACAGGCCACAATATGCAGGGTGCTGACAAACATGGCTGTCTGAGGACTAGGGAAGTTAAAGATGGGGCTGTCTAATGTGCTGTCATCCCCATGGCCTTACTGTGTTGGAGGCAGTCACAGGGCGTGGTGGAACCTGACTGAAGCTCAGGAAAGGGGGTTCAACAGGAGTGTGGAGAAAGCTGAGTAGTGCTGGGGAGCAGAGGGCCATGCCATGGAAGGAATTTCCTGCCCTTTTCACCTTCCCTCAGATCCCTTGCTAGGCTGCAGAAGCACTGTCAGAGGAGAGAATATTTCAGGGAGAAAGTTTAGGGAGTAATTACCTAAATTTCTAGATCAAGCAGTTTGACTGGTATCTATCACACACACCTTTCATGCCATTGTTTTCAGTTTCCTTAGGACCTGGCTTGAGTTAACCTATTTGGTAACACCTACATGGCACAAGATGAAAAAATACAATGAGGTAAGTACAGCATTTCTTTTGAGCCATATTCTTACCTTCAAGCTCCAGTAGAGAGTCAGCAGCCTTAAGACCTGAGCAAGGGTCAGTAGGCACAGGAATTACATTCCAAGGGAAAGGGTGGTGTTCCCTGGCTATGGCAATCACAGAGGCTCAAATTACCTCTGTGCTGCAGCTGAATGACCTTCAGCAGGTAGAGGCACTTGGGGAGGCTCTCCTATTGGTGTGGTACATTACAGTCACTACTGAAAGAGTCTGGCTGTATAGGGAAAAAACTCTGTTGTCACCTGCCTGACAAAGAATCACCTTTGATTGTACAGTGCTCACTTAACTGTGGCCTTGACTACTCTGCAAATTTCAGCTTTCTTGAGCTGAAAACTCCAGGCTGTCTGGAGGAATGTCTGGCAGCAGCACACCCCTCCTTTTTTTCTATGACCTCCCAGTGACGGCACCTGTGGGCGCCCACAGTTCTGCAGCAGAAGCCAGCACTTCATGGCTCTGGCTCCTCCCTCCAGGATTCTCAGAGAGGCAGAGAATCCACAATGGGCAGGGCCTGGAGTGTAGCCAGGCTATGCTTCAGAGAAAACAGGCACATGGCTTCCAGGTCCTCTCCTTTCTGGTCAGGGTCTGTGTGTGCCTGAGCACCCAGCCCTTGTTAATCATTTAAACCAGCAGCCCAAAGTTGATTTATCTGACTCTCTCCTCCCGCTTCAGTGCTGATGCTGCCATGATGTACCGAATCAACAGATTACCAGCCACCTGGTTTTATCATCATTTCCTAACCTGAATCCCCTTCTTTTCCCTTTAGCTAAAGATAAAGGGGGCTTAAAACCTGTGTGAAGAGTGGGTTTACAGGGTGCTAGTCCATTATCTTCAGTTTTGCTAGCTTACCAAGTAAATCTTTTTCCTTGCCCCAACAATTTGTCCTCAATTCATTTGACCCTTTTATAAGTGGTGAGTAAATAGACTTGGGTTCATTAATGGGGGGAAATGAAAGAGCTCCAAATAAGTTCCTGCTCCTTTGGTGATTTCTTTAGCCCAAGGTTCACTTTCTGAATCTATGAAATGTAGGAAATGGGGCTAGGATTGTGGCTGGGCAATGGAGCGCTCGCCTAGCACGGGCGGGACCCGGGTAAGATCCTAAGCACCACATAAAAAATAAAGGCATTGTGTTGTGTCCATCTACACCTAAAAAAATGAAGGAAATGGTGATTGTCTCCAATTGTTGCTTTAAGCTTAAAAACAATAATGAAAACATCTTTCCTAGCCCATACTGCTTACAAATGTTGGTTCTCCTTTTCTTTCTCCTTGAACAGTATTCATCAACACCTATATGCAGAAAAGATACAGCAAAAATCTAGAGTTTAGATATACATTTATTTAACCTTGCCTTATCTTTTAAAAGGCATGCAGTTATGAAGACAGATTATATTTTTGGTGACGTAGGCTACCTGGAAAATCAAACTGGCCATGCATTAAATACTCACTGACTGCTACTCTTCTGTCAACTCCCAACCTTGTTCTGACCTAGTGATTTCTTTCTGGAATTTAAGTGTAACTGAGAGAAGGATTTAGGATTAAAAGAAAGATACACCAAGTCTCAAAGGTACACCGATTCTCACATCTGTGAGCCATTGAAATGCTGAGTGCACTCAGGAATAGTTGTAATTCTTGAACAACATGCCCTTGGCCCTCATCCTTGTAAAATGAGGGAAATTGTCAAGCACAAGAAAAACTTATGCAAAATTATGTGCTTGTTCCCTGGCTCCACCTCTAGTCCAGCCCCTAGCATAGGCCTCCTATAAATATTAATAACCCACTCCAATAGATTGCTTATTTCCCTCTGGATATAGCCTGCAGTCTCTCTTGGATGTGTATTCTTTGCTTTACCTCAAAGACATCTCTCTTGAGATTGCCTCCATTCTCCCTTGAATGTGTATCTATTTTCCTAAATAAACCTCTGTCTATAACTTTATTTGGCATGTGCTGAAATTCTTTTCCATTATGTATGCCACTGGTGCTGAGTCAGGTTCCCCCTTCCCTCTAGAAATCCTTGGACTCTTCCAGAGAATCTATTCTCCTCTGATGTAACTGTGCACCTAGCTGCCTGTCCTGCCAAAGTCTGACATCTTTGACCCTGTACTGACATCAGACATCTCTTTTCCTCTCCTTTTCCAAAGGGGATTTTCTGTGTTTAATTGCAATCTATTTTTTCTTCTACTCTCTTCCCAATTCCCTTATTCCAGTGCTGTCAACACTCAACCTCATTTGATTGACTCAAAAGTTCTTAGGGCTAACTCATGATCTTTCTCTGCAGTTCAAATACCTCGTGTCCAATTGTGTAGATGTCTGCAATTCCAGAGCCACTTGAATGCATGCCACCCCTGTCTTACCTCATTCCCTTGCCCCATTTCCTTTCAGGTCCTGGGGCTGCCATCTTTCACACCTGAAGCATTACCTTGGGTTCCTTGACCTATCTAACAATATCTTTTATCATCACATGTTTATTGAGGACAACTGTAAATAAGAAATAAACCATAAAAAGAACTCAAAATGCTTAACACCAATAAAACCCCACAAATAACCCAATCACTAAATAGACTAAGGAACGGAACACACACTACACAGAAGAAGAAATATAATCGATCAACAAATATATGAAAAAATATTCAACATCTCTAGCAATTACTGAAATGCAAACCAAAACTACATTGAGATTTCATCTCTCTCCAGTGAGAATGGCAATATCAAGGTTATAAGCATCAGTAAAGTTGATGAGGATGTGGGGGAAAAGGTAAACTCATACATTGCTGGTGGGGCTGCAAATTGGTGTAATTTGGGAAAGCAGTATGGAGATTCCTCAGAAAACTTTGAATGGAACCATCATTTGACCCAGCTACCCCACTCCTTGGTTTATACCCAAAGGACTTAAGATCAGAATACTACAGTGATGCAGCCACATCCATGTTTATAGCAGCTCAATTTCCAACAGCTAAACTATTGAACCAACCTAGATGGCCTTCAACAGGTGAATGAATAAAGAAACTGTGGTGTATATACAGAATAGAATATTCCTCTGTCTTAAAGAACAACAAAATTATGGCATTTGCAGATAAATGGATGGAGCTGGAGAATATTATTCTAAGCAAAATAAGCCAATCCCAAAGAACCAAAAGCCAAATATTTTCTCTGATATGTGGATGTTAATTCACAATAAGGGAGGAGGCTCTAGGGGAAAATAGAGCTACTTTGGATTAGACAGATAGAAATGAAAGGAGGGAGGGGGTATGGGTGTAGAAAAGAAAGTAGAATGAATTGGACATTATTACCCTATGTGCATATATGATTACATGACCAGTGCAAATGTGTATCATGTGCAACCAGGAAAATGAGAAGTTAAAACTCCATTTATGTATCATGTGTCAAAATGCATTCTACTGTAATGTATTACTAATTAAAACAAAATTTAAAAATAAAATAAACCCATAGTTTTTAAAATCCCAGAATTTATAGTTTTAAGTAGAGCTCTGGTTGCTCCCTCTGCATTCATATCAGTGAACTGGGATATTGCAAAACCTTCTATCAGCTCTCCTTTTCCCCAGTCTCTTTCCTCTGATTTTTACTGTGTTCATCGTATAAATTAGCTCAGTCCAGAGCAGTTACTTCTCATCCTGTATGGCCCAAAGTCTGGTGCTTCCACCTTAATTCAAGGTCTTCTTTAAGATGACACCATCCGTGGCTGAACTTAGTGTTCCCTGGAGTCATCCTGCAATTTCCTACCTCTTCGCTTCAGTCCTGTTATTCTCCCTATCCAAAATATTCTTAATCAGATTTTATAGAGTCAAATGTATCAGCTTTGAAATCAAATTTTACTTGAAGCCTTTCTCAGATTCTATCTGAAAGTAAACTGTGCTACGAACTAGCTCTTATTTCTTTAAGAAATCACAGTTTTATTGAGGTCTAATTCACATCACCCATTTAAAATAGTTTTAGTTGTAAAACTAAAACTAGTGTAACCATCACTGCAATCAATTTTAGAGCATTTTTGTGCGCACTCGCACACACACACACATACTCACACAAAGTAAGGAGGAGGAGGAGGAGGAAGATAAGGAGGAGAATAAGAAAGGGGAGGAGGAGGAGGAGGAACAGGAGGAGGTGGCACAAACCCTGCACCATTTAATGGTTACCCTTCATTGCCCCTATTCGTCAACCTTAGGTAGCCACTAATTTATTTTGTATGTCAATTGACTCGTTTACTGTGAATATTTTATGCATACAAATATAAGTGGAATCATACAGTATGTAGCCTACATATGCTATTACTTGAATGTGTCCCCCAAAGTTTATGTGTTTGAAATGTAATCCCCAGTGCAACAGTTTTGAGAGGTGCGATCTTTAAGTGATTAAGTCTCAATAAGTTGTTATCACAACACTATTGTGTATTGTGAAAGTAAAGTTCATCCCCTCTTGCTCTCTCACATCATGTGATGCCTTCTGCCATGTTATCCCACCACAGGAAAGTCCTCTCTAGTTGTGAGCCCTCGAACTTGGATTTCCATACCTCCAGAGCCATAAAAATATATCTCTATTCTTTACAAATTGCTAGTCTCAGGTATTCTATAATACTAGCACAAAATAGAATAAGATAGCATGTGTAATTTGCCTTTCTTTAATAGCAGTTCCCTCTTTTATTTTAAAGAGAAAATCAACTAACTGCCCAATGCCCCCAGTTTTTCTTAGCTATGCTATTAAAACTTAGGTTGGACTAGATTTAGGGCCCTCTCTCTCTCTCTCTCTCTCTCTCTCTCTCTCTCTCTCTCTCTCTCTCCCCTCCCTCCCTCCATCCCTCCCTTCCTCCCTCCCTTTCTCTGTTCCCTGACTATCAAGAAACGAGCAGTTTCTTCCACCATACACTCCTGATAAAACGTATTGGCTCACTCCAACCCAATAGATTATGGATTGAAAGCTCTGAAACTGAGGCAATATAGCCTTTTCTCTTT